CCCTGCTCTTGTTGGGTCATACATATTTGTCATAGTGAATAGTTATTGATACAATCCTTTTAAATCTTAAATTAGATGTTGAACCTTCTAAATTTTGTATTCGTAATCGGATTTGAATAGCACTATCTTCTAAAGCTAGTGTCAGTTCATCCTCATTACTAATATTGAAGCGGGTTGATGGTAGGGGATATACAAGTTCCTGACTTCCTAATTCATTTCCTCCATCATCATATTCAGGTTTTTCAAATAATCCTTCCGTTCTTATGTTAAGTTTCATGCTTCTATTATTTCTTAGCAAATCTGCTTCCGTTCTAATCCCCTTTCTCCTTGAACGTGTTTGTGTTCTAGAACTATTGAATTAGCGTATCTTCTAAATGCTGATTGAATATCTCTGACCCTAAATATTTTTCTTATAGCGTGTTTGGTTATTAATTGCCTAACCCTTTCTATTTACAACATTCGTTGCCTTTTTCATAGCATAACTTCTGTATTCATTAGTTTTCTTTACTGACAACAATTTCTTTGTTAAAACATTTGACATGGGTTTGTCTTTGTTGTCTCTCAATTTCTTATCATCCATTATTATTGACTTTAATTCTTTTCTTCCCTTTTTGGGTAATTCTGCTTTCTTAGTATTCAATAGATAGTCTATAATCTTTTTCATCATATAATAGTATATATTTTTTTAATCTATCTTTACGTAGATTTTAAAGAACTCTATTGTTTTATTCTTTGAATATATATTTAACGAATAGTCCGAATAGTTATTTAAGTATATTAGTAGGATGGATTGTATGAAGGATTTACCTCTGAATATGTGAAAATAAAACATAGTGAAGCTTAGAAGAGAATACAAAACAAATATTAAATATCAAGACTTGGTCCGAAAATAGACAGAAAGCTAAGACAAAGAAACACAATGTATATAATTTAGTAATGTATTATGAGAGAGGGAGTGCAGGGAGTGCCATTTAGTTTGAAAAGTATAGGAAACATCATAACAGAAGACAAGTAATAATTACTATATTTGATTTATGAAGAAGTAGAAGAAGATACTTTAAGTTTTAGAGTTAAACTTGATATTGAAATCCAAATAGTAGCAAAACTCCCAGATAAAGAATATGGAGACAATGCATTTAGTTATAGAGAAGTTTACTTCATGAATGACTTTGATGAATATGTAGATGAAGATAATATAGACGATGTATTGAATAAAGCAGATGATGAAAAAAGTACCAACATAGAAGAATACAAAGATAAAGATAGTATAATAGGAATACAAGCATTTCATTTTAGATCAATAATTGTTGAATATATTTACTACGAACATATTTCTAATAGTATTAATCTATTAGAATTATGGATTTGTAAGATCGGATTATTAAAGGTTAAAGGTTTATCTTTATTGCTGTCTGCCGTTTTGTCTTATATATTGTTCTGTGCTTGGTTTGTTTTCTTTTTGGGTTGTTGTAGGAATTCTTGGAAAATACATTTAAGAAGATAATCATATCTATATGTATTGGATAAATTTTGTAGATAGTGTGTTAAAGATTTACCAATTGATAGTTTTGAAGATGGATTGAAGACTTGTAAGACATGCTTGGAATACAAGAGAAAGAACTATGACAAACATAAAGATAAAGTGAATGAAACACGAAGAACTAAATATAAGGAACATGAAGAATATAGAAAAAATCAACAGGAACAAATACAAAACTATCGTGATAAAGTTGCCTTTTGTAATGTATGTAATTCATCAATGAAGGCGCAATGCTATTGAAGACATTTAAAAAACAGAGAAGCATAGAAGGAATTTAGGAACGGTTGATGGATAGGATTTTGTAAAATGAATAAGGTAATAATGCTTTTGACTGCTATGATTTTGAAAAATGAATGAGGTAATTGTGTTTTGACTGCTATGATTTTGGAAAAATGAATGAGGTAAGTATGCTTTGACTGCTATGATTTTGAAAAATTGAATGAGGTAAGTATGCTTCGACTGCTATGATTTTAAACAAAATTGAATGAGGTAATTATGTTTTGATATTGTTAAGAAAAATGAAGCAATCAACAATATTTAAACTGACTTTTTGGACTGTTATGTTGTTTTTGAATACAATTGTATTTGTTATACTGCTATGATATTAGTTTAGACACTTCACTCAATCAATGTTCTTTACATTTTTCTGGTGATGCCCAGGGGGGTCGCCCTGCCGTCCCGGCTTCGCTGCTTGAGGGCCCTGGTTCTAGGGCGGTTCTAAAGGCGCGCACTAGGGCGGTTCTACAGGTCCACTCTTTCATTGCGGGTGTGGATGGCTCTGGAGGAACACCAAGAAGAGCCGGGTCTTTGATGGAGTCCTTGAATAGGTTCCTTCAGGTTCATCAAAACCCCCCCCCGCGACACGGACCGAGCGCCTGCGCCGAAAAACAAGCGGTCGATCCTTCGATTCGACGTTCGAGCGGAACCGCGGAACCGACTGCTCGTCGATCCGGAGCTGATCGTTCATCCTCGTTCGGGCCGCGGAAGGGTTTAGTATAGTTTCTTATGTTACTAATTAGTAGTTCTGTGCCTTCTTGGTACTATTAGTAGTTCCGTGCCAAACTATTAGTCGTGCCGGTGCCTTGCTACTAGTAGCTTCTTGCATAGACACCGTCTGAGAGATTCTCCGACCCGTCTGCTGCTTCGAACGGACACCGTTTCGCGACCCGAAACAGCCCGACGCGGGGACCGAGGCCGCCGAATCCGAGGGTCCGGAGGGGTCCGGGCTTTGGTTCGGGACCAAAGACCTGTTTTCAGGGGTCGCGTCTGGGCGAAATCGGGGGACTAAGGCATGACATGGTCGTTTTTTTCTGCCAGAGGCTGCGAATATAGACACCCTCTGAGTTCGGGTCCTGGTATGAGAGCACTTGGTGACTGATCAAATTCTGTGGGATTGCCCTCAGCTTCTTGCTTGTGCTGCTTGGCTCAGGGCATTCAAAACTCTAAGTATCCAGGTACTTGTATCCAAGTGTCATTTGTCATTGGACGACAAAAAACATACACGACAAAGTCACGAAGACAAGGTCAGGATAGCTTCCGTGACGTCATGAGAGGTGAAGGAGACGCATTCCAGGTCTCCAGCAATTTGGAAGTTGTCACACGCCGTCACACGCATATCCATTTGCGGAGAGATTGCGTAGATGGCGCTGCACGTGCTTTGGGCAGCATCCGGTGAAGATGTATTTGTCTTCAGCGACGAGGAGTTCCAAGCTCTGGTGGAAGAACGGGGCAACACCATCAAAGCACTGAAACTGGAACTTATGTTTCGAGGATTTGGATCAAGGTTTCGACTGCGGCTCTTGCATGCGGAAGAACATTTGGAGGTTGGTGATGATGCGGTGATAGTCCCACCACTGGTGCTAAAGATGGTCAAGTTGGCCTTCCTACCACCAGACCGAGTTCGAGATGAGGAATTCCTTGACGCATGTGAGGAAGGGGACCTTCAAGAAGTTGAAAAGAGATTGCATCAGCCACAGGACCCGAACACTAAACATGTAGTAGTAGAGAGCTTTACAGCCTTGTATGAGGCAGCGCACAATGGCCACGTGGAAGTGGTGCGCATATTGCTGGAGGCTGGAGCCTCTTATGATAGAGCCACATCATTTCTTTTGCACGGTGCTGCTTCCCACGGCCACTTGGAAGTGGTACGCTTGTTGCTGGAGGCTGGGGCCTCTTCCAACACTGCAGATGCACAGGGTTGCACACTTTTGCACATAGCAGCTGAACATGGCCACCTTGAACTGGTACGATTGTTGCTGCGGGCTGGGGCCTCTTGCAATCAAGCCACTTCCCAGGGTGCAATTGCTTTGCATCATGCGGCTCAGAATGGTCACCTGGAAGTGGTGCACTTGTTG